AAGCATCATTGAAAGTTCTTGCCTTCTTAGAATAAACTGAGCCATTTTCTGCATCTCTGATGCACCTGATGTTTCAGTAGATGGTTTGAGCAAGTGTACCTTCAGCTTGTGGAGCGCAAGGAGATTCTGTAATAATTTACTAAGTGGACTGTCCATGTCCCTTAATGTCAGGGCTTTGTCCACTAAAGCGCCACTCTGTGAGGTAGCCGGCAATGTGTACTTAGAACAGTGAATCTGGAAGAGCGTATCCACCTCAACCCAAGTATGAATAAGCAGAAAGATCACCTCTTGGACCTTCTCCATCCAAGGACCTTCGGTGACAAGGTTCTGCTTCAAAAGGTCTTCAACGACCTTCAGCATCTCCATCATAAGATTCTGAGTCTTCTTCACGATTGGCACCGGGGTGCTGTTGTCCAGGGTCTTAAAACTGAAGAGTACAGCGTAGAGGAGCAAACTCAAAGAAAACACTTTCAGCGCCAAATCCGATGCTTCATCTTGGATGTGGGGGAGAAGATAGCACTGCATCTTTTTTAAAATGAGCCAACAGATCTCGAGATTTTGGCTCGGAGGATTGTCTAGCAAACACTGACTCAGGGTCTTTTGTATCGTTTCAGGCAACAACGGCGGTCTCAAGTCATCCGCTGCAGGCCGACACACTACATCAAGCAGCTCTTCTACAAGTTTAGGCAGCTGTCGGAGTTTGGCATAAGTCTGCAAGACGGCAGACACAAGTGCTTCTCTGGCTTTCTTAACACGTACTTCCATGTTGTCTGCATCAACCCACACAGCTGAAAGGAGCTCATCTAAATCTGGCTCCAGGATATGGTGATTCAGTGCGAGCAGAGCTCTGAGACAGCGGTACCAAGCTGGGATGCCCATCTGGGCATTGTTAAATAATAGGCGAGCCAGTTTCCTGTAGAAATTCAATTGCACCTCTCCATGCTGTATTCTGTCTGCAGCCACATTATAGGTATCACCAGCCAAACAGGAGTTCAGGAGGTTCTCCAGAGCGAGTAAAGCAATACCCCAATTCAATGCACTAAATTTCTCATCAATATCCAGTTCATCTGTGAACCCCAAAGCAGTAATGAGCTTAGCCATGAGGTGGAAGATCACTTGATTGTTTTCTCCCCCTTTACAAAATGAATCTAGGGCGAATTTAAATAGCAGAGTGAGAGAGTTTGATTTAACGGCATAAAATAAAGCCTCTTCCTCTTTGTTAGTTCCTTGGACATTAAGTTTCAAAAGGATCATATTGACAGGGCCTTGCAAGCCCTTTCCCGCATGGCTCTTTTTGGCCCCAGCTTTATCCTCCGATGGTAAAACTTCTTCCTTGTAGGACAGCAAATGATCAGGGATGAAGAGCGCTGACTGAAGAACAGCATCCACTTTGCTCCGGATTTCCTTGCTCAGATGCTGGCGAACCTTGACGTCATCCTTCTCAGTCCATACTCTAGTGTTCAGTAAGTGTCTGAGCAGGAGAAGAGGATGAAGGAGGTGTGCTGTTACCTGGGAAAACACTCGGTTGGAGTTTGCCTGCTGTTTCTGCACTGTTAGGTAGGTGCTGAGAACAAGGAGGAGAACCTCAAAGACTTTGAGAAAGAGAGGCTCCTCACTTTTCTGCTGCCTGAGCTGCATGCTGGACAAGCCACAGAGTCGACTCAAGAGTTCCACTAACAACTCATACTTAGCAGTGTAGGTCACGGAAAGCACTGGGGAGGTCAAGATGCCATGGCAACAGCTCAGAATGGTGTGGAAACTGACAGATTTGAATCCAGAAGAACAGTCCAAAATCCTGTCATTGATAATCTAGGATAAAATAAAACAAATGATGAATGCAGTGTTCATTTTTACATAGCTTTTTTAGACCAAAAAATCCTTAAAATTTAGTTAATTCATATTTCTTCATGCTATATTTATTAGTTTTAGTCATTTTTACTCTGAATAAAATTACATAATTTTTTAGCCATCAAAAACAGCATTGACGAAATTTCATATTTTCATTTAAACATGTATCAACATTTAACAAAAACAACATTTAAAAACTGTCCTTGTTGCAAATAATACATTAGAGTATGCAATTTTTATACATTATTGTGAATTATTTATGTTTTAGTTATCTGTTGTCTGCATCTTAGTGCGTTGTTATAGAAAAAGTGTGCAAACTTGACCTTCATTTTGACTTTATTAGTGTAATTTGAAACAATCATATTCTTTCTAAATCTTTTTTTTTTTTTTTTAACATTTACCACATTGTTGTGGTGGTATTTTTTTCTCATCATATTTTAATCAACAGCACGTTTTAGATAAAAGTCTTTAAAAATCTTTAGAATATGCATTGTATTTGTTAACGTTGACAAAAAAAATACTTTACTAATATTCAAGCAATACTGATTAAGTTAAAATAATAACTAAATTAATAGAATAATACAAGCAGAAATTAACTCTTTATATATCCCCAAGAGCACATCTGAGACCAAGTGAAATTATTGCAAAACTGAAGTACTGGTAAACACCTGTGCTAGTGTGAGACGAAGGCTAATGGTTTTTCCTTGACTCAACACATTATGAAGCTTCCTGCTGTGAAGGATATCATCTAGGTAGGTCCATAAACCCTCCACCACCTCCGAGGGTACGTCCACTTTCTTATTGTAAAAACCAGTGAGGGCATGACTTGTCCAGTCAAACAGAACCTTTGATAGGGAAAGAGGCATTAATGTTTGAAAAATATTCATTTAAAAATATTGCAGTAAATTTGCTAGATATATCCAGTTAAAAAGTAAACTTTTATAGTCTCAAAAATATGCAGACAGTCTATATCAGATAAATTACCTGCTCTTTATTAGGAAGAAGGCACTGTGTTGATATCCATGCAAATCGAGCAAGTTTTAGTTTGTCTGGCCAGGGTGTGCGAGAGTTTTTCAGTTTCAGATGGATGCCAGAGTAAATGGCAGCCATTTCTAAATATCTTTGTGTCTAAAAGAACAAAAAGAGAGATTATCATGTTATGTTTACACATATTAAGGCCAATTAAATATTAACAGAAGGTTGACATTAGAGGTAGACAGATAATCAGTTTGACCAATATTTTTTAAACCAATATTCACACCGTACAACATAATCAGTCATCCAATAAATGACACTGTTTGATAGCCTATGAAGAACAGAACCCAACAACAGTATTTACAGGTATTGTAACTTATTTTATATATAGTTTGAATAAATTACTAAACTTCCGAAATAACAGTCATGACGTTCTTTAGGTGAGAAATCTGTAGTTTTGAAGATGAAATCCTTATTCTTATTCTTCATGAAAAAATAATATAGTAATTTATAGTAAATAGTATAGTGTTTTTGAACCATACTATAGTAAAGTACTTGAATTAATTTGTTGTGGTAGTTCTATAGTTGCTGTGGTAATATAACAACTATAGTAATATAAACTAATTACTTTACCCAATACTGTACTAAGTTTTCTACAACTGTAGGACATATTATACTACAATACACTAGTTTACTGTAGTAAAAACTAAAGTATACTACAGTATGTATTACAGTTTATCAGTTCACTATAGTTAATACAGTATGCTGTAGCATTAATTAAAGTGTTGTAAATACTATAATATATACACAGTATAATACCCTTTACTATAGTATGGTTCAAAAACTCTATAGTATTTACTATAAATCACTATAGTATTTACTATAGGGTTATTATTATTACATAGCTAATTATTATGCATACAAATCTGAATAAAGAGAACACTAGTCTTTCATAAACACATTCATTTTCCACGTCAAAAGTCACATAAAATCATACTAAAGTAAACTCTCTGTTTGAAAATCATTTTAAACACACCAGCAGATGTCTGGCAGCCCCTAGCGAATCACATGGCGAAACAAACTCAACAAGCGTGCTAGATTTGATTGAATAAAACGGACCGTAGTATAACAAGTGTTATCGTAGGCTATTTTTAATATAATGAGATTACCTATCTAAAATACTTAACGTACAATCTCGTCACACACGTGTTGTCGCTGCGGAGTCTGCAAAGACCTTTAACCTCTTCACTTTAACACCAGACAGTAATAATCGAGAACGAGCATCATCGTTTGGGGATGGAATAAGCATATAAAACGGGTTCATTGTATTGTAACAAAAACAAATGTAGATAAGTGGATTGCCCCAGGAGCTATTGTCAGTAATGTTTAGAACGTCGTCTTGCTAACATGTAGGAAATACATGGTTAGCAAGACGACGTACTTTGTGACCAAAGTAACCATGATATATTACAGCAAACTACACATGATAATGAAATCATGTCTGAAATTCGAAATGTCAGTCACCCTTAATAAGGACTGAATGATGAACAGACATCAAATAAACCGATGAAACACTTGTTTAACAAGTGGTCGGTTGATTAAAATGTTTGACTTGTCGTGTCTGAGAAAGGTTTCGTCAGAGATCATAGAACTGAATAAGTAGATTCCGCATTAGCCGCGGTGTTTGCAGGTCCGCCATATTGGAAAGGTCAACATCAACCCGTAAGATATGCGCAACAGGCACCATTTTTACACTATTAGGTTTATCATAAACGCTGACCAGTTATGCATATTGCAATAGATATAAATATCAACATAAAACTGAGTATTAGGTAAACGCTATCTGTAAATAATACAGATTTTCATAAACACGGGGCCGGTTTATTTAAAGCTTCAGTTTTAAAGCAATAGGGAAAAATAAATAAATCTAGTAATCTGTACACATTTATACTATATTTGCTACTAAATCATAATAAATAGAAGAACCATTAATTAACGTTCTATATTTGCTACTAAATCACAATAAATAGAACCAGTAATTAACAGTTATTTCTATCAGAAAACAGTTTTACTTAAAACCGCGTTGACCTTCCCAAGATGGCGGCGCTATTGACCAGACCAATGCGACATCTCCTTGTTCACGTCTATGACGGAGATAGTCCATTGGTGTGGTAGCGCTTCGCTTCCTCGAAAGTCAAGGAATCACCGGGGGTCACCTTTTTATTCCGGTTTTATTTTAAAACACTCCAACTTCCACTTTTCTGTCACTGGAACAGTAATTGACTTTGTGTTAAGTAAAGAAGTTAAGCCCGAAAGAAGTCGTGTAGCAGGTTTTTGTGACAGGGCGCTGCCGGTGAATGCGCTGGGCGTGTGTGAAGATAACGCAAACAAGGGCTGGATGTGAAAACTGTCAGGAACAGATAATGCTCAGTAACCGTCGACCCCGGCCTGCAATAACTCAGTCTTTGTAACGAGAGCCCAGTGCCATGCAGTCAAGAGCGTGTCCAGATACTCCAATATTTACAGCACCGCTCGATACATTGGTCATCTGACTTCATACAGTAAGTTTCGACAGATAATGATTAGGTGAGACTCGTAAACTTCGTTTTGGTCGTCGTCTAATCCAAATGTATGGGACAATGTTGCGAATGACAAGGTTTACTGTAGGGAAACTGCAGCAGTGTAACATTACCTGCTGTCAGTCAGATACATTTTATCATTTGTCTAATCGGATCTCAAGAACACCGTGGAAAAGGCAAGTGTGCAAGAACGGATCGTTTGATGTCCTTGTGATGCCCGTCTATAAGGGAAGGAGCATGTCCTGGCTCTCTTGTCTCAGAACTGGAGGTTTGTTTCTGCCCAAGAGAGTGTGGACACACTCCAGACACACGGTTGCTCTCTATAGCACATCTACGGACTCCAAACAAACCGCAAAGTCTGTGTTAAATCAGGAGAGTAAAGTCAAAACCTCAGAAAACTCGTTACGTGCTCCCTCAGAAGATGTCAAGAAGTTGCTGCAGCTGGCGTATCCTCAGCGATGGAGACTGACGGGCAAGTCAAACTATGCTCATGTTCTTTATTTAGTGTTATTGAAGGCACTTGGTTGGTTTTGACTTTTTTCTGAGATTAGTCCAACTGTTGAGTTTAACATCCTTTACAAAAATATACAATGATACCTTTACAAAGATAAATATAGAATATCATATTATATATATATATATATATATATATCTCTCTCAGATGGTTGCACTTTATAGCAAAGAATATAACTGTTAACTTAATGTTAGTCACAAGTGTCAAAATTTTAGTTATTAGAGCTACTGTGTAAATGTTGTAAATATTTTTTTTAAACGAAACTAAAGAAAAATGCAAATGAAATAGCCACTTGTGCAAATGTAACTTTTTGCAAAAGTACCTCGCAAATGACCTTCTGACTGTCCCCATAGCTGCCGTGGGCTTTTTGGTGTTCTCCAGCTCTGTCACCATGTCTGCACCATTTTTTCTGGGAAAAGTGATCGACACCATCTACACTAGCCCCTCAGAGGACTTCACCTCCTCCCTTACCTCCCTGTGTATCATGCTAACAGGGGTCTTCCTCTGCGGGGGCGCTGCAAATGCTGCTCGTGTCTACCTCATGCAAATCTCAGGTGAAGTCTTGAGGCAGATCATGTAAAACAGTAAAGATAGTTCATAGTGCAGTAGGGACTTGTTTTGTGGGGAATTTGTGGTTTATACTTGGAATTAAAAAAAAATAAATTAATACTTTTAATCAACAAGGACACAATAAATTAATCAAAAGTGAAAGATAAAGATATTTATGTTTCAAATAAATGCTGTTTTTTCCTCAGAATCCTGACAAAAAAATTTCACAGTTTCCACAAAAATGATTAAGCAGCTCAACTGTTTTCAACATTGATAATATAAAGAAATGTTTCTTGAGCCGCAAATTGGCATATTAGAATGATTTCTGAAGGATCATGTAACACTGAAGCTTGAAAATTCAGCTTTGCCATCACTGGAATAAATGACATTTTAAAATAGTTTCAAATGAAAACTGTTATTTTAGTTTGTATGAATATTTCACAATATTACTGTTTTACTGTATTTTTTATCAAATAAATGCAGTCTTGGTGAGGTTCTCATGAACCTTCTTTCCAAAACATTAAAAAATCTTATCAACCCCAAACTTTTAAATGTGTACATAATGTTTGATTTCTTTTATGAGGTCTAGTTTAGTCTTCTTAAATCCATTAATAAGAAGCATTTCATCTGATTCATTGTGTTGACCAGCATGCATTTCTGTGCTTGCTCTCTAATAAGCCTTTCTCGACTTTCACAGGGCAACAGATAGTACGAAAGTTGCGCGAATCTCTTTTCTCCTCGATTCTGAAGCAGGAGGTGGGATTCTTTGATAAGACCCGAACCGGTGAGCTCATTAACCGCCTTTCAGCAGACACGACCATCGTCGGGCACTGCCTCACTGACAACCTGTCTGATGGGCTGCGTTCCCTCGCCCAGGCAGGGGCCGGAGTTGGCATGATGGTGAGATGCTTGTGATAGTTTGACATGTTAGCAGCTAATTCCCTTTACGAATATCACATTTTAACCACATTTTCTAAAGAAAATTCTGAAAGGTGCTCATGCGAAACTACTCGCCGCCACAACATCTGACTCTCATTACTTCCTGATCTGTTTCTAAAAACAGACGATACAGTAGAATGCAGTGATTCTAATGTCGCACTTTGATTTCTTATAATGGTTCCTCATGGAACTATGAGTTTACAGTCATGCTTGAATTTTAGAATGTGTCTGCATTCATTACAATTTAGTTCTTGAATTTTCCATTTCTTTTCCTCAGTTATATGTGTCACCTAGTCTGGCAGCTTTTGTGCTGATGGTTGTTCCTCCTATTGCCTGCCTGGCTGTAATTTTCGGTAGATTCTTACGATCCATATCGAGACGCACACAGGATGCGTTGGCAGAGGCTACACAGGTAAGAGGTCATGTTTCCTTTTAATGGGGCTTTATTGCACGTTTTATTGCAGATATGGAAGTAAGCCTTGGACAGTTATCATTTGATTGCTGAATTCATTGCTCTATTGTAAGCATAAAGACGCCAAGTAGCCAAGGGATCTGTTTACTCTGTAGCTGCTCTGCATCTCCTAGTTGGCAGAAGAGAGGATCAGCAATATACGGACAGTCCGGGCTTTTGGAAAAGAGCTGACGGAGGTGCAGAAGTACTCGGAAAAGGTTGATCATATTTTTGAACTGGCTAAGAAAGAGGCTGTGCTTTCTGCTGGATTCTATGGAGTGGTGAGATACTTAATTGTTGTGCAAATATTTTAGTTGTGTGCATGATTATAGATAATGATTATCATAAGTCAGTTAAAGATCATTTGTCTAGTAAAGTAGCTCTCTACTTCTGCTCTTGAGGTTTTCATTTCTTTCACAGACAGGATTGAGTGGAAATGTCATCATCCTGAGTGTGTTGTATAAGGGAGGTCTGTTGATGGCCAGTGAGGCCATGACTGTTGGGCAGCTCTCCTCTTTCCTAATGTATGCCTTCTGGGTGGGCATCAGCATCGCAGGTGAGGATGTTAGCTCAGAGAAACTGAATATACACTACTGTTCAAAAGTTTGGGGTCAGTATACATTTTTTTTTTCACCAAAGAAACATTCTGCAAGGACACATTAAATTGATCAAAACTGACAGTAAAGACATCTATAATGTTGCAAAAGATATTTATTTCAACTAAATGATGTACTTTTGAACTTTTTTATTCTTCACAGATCCTGAGGGGGGAAAAACAGAGTTTCCACAAAAATATTAAGCAGCACTTAAAAATATTAAGCAGCAACAACTGTATTCAACATTGATAAATGTTTTTGTGCAGCAAATCAGCATATTAGAAAGATTTCTGAAGGATCATGTGACATCAATTTCATTCTAAAATACACATTTTAAATTGTAATAATATTTCACAAAATTACTGTTATTGTATTTTTTAGCAAATAAATGCAGCCTTGGTGAGCTTAAGAAACTTAAAAAAAAAAAAAAAAATAAAAAATTTTA